TGAAAAGACTTTTTAGGTGCTTTGTATGGAATTTATTTTCACTGATTTCTGACGAGTTGACTGTAAAACATAGGAAAACTGGATTTTATTTTCACTGAATCATTCCTTCAGCCAAAATATTTTACTGAATCTAAATTGCAAATTAAAGTTTTGAAAACATGGCCTGCGGTAAGCTGCCATGGATACCGGTAGCCAAAATGAATGGAGAAAAAAGAGTGTCAGCTGGTAATGTGTTAAGAAACTGACACTTAAATCTCATCAATATCAAGATGAAAATAATAAAAAAAAAATTCAAAATGCATTCTCAAACTATAAATATTTTTGGAATAAAAAAAAAATGTTAAAAAATTCTGAAACTGTTGGACCTTACTTTCTATGAAGGCAAATAAAACCCCAAAAAGCTAAATATCACCCTCCCAATCCGTATCATTTATTATAACCTTTTCATGACCAGTTCCCTCTTTTCATTACAAAATAGCCCTGTTTATAGTCAAGCCAACAATAGACAAATTTTTTTAGTAAAAACTGAAAATTGACTCAAATTTTGTATGTTGGCTCCAAAATTATGGTTAATTTCCAGAAATATTGAAGAATATCTTGTGGTGAAAAGTTTAATCATACTTATAATTATAAGCAGTACTATGTTTAGGAGAGCCATTTTATCTCCCACACCATTATCTAAAGTGAGGCCTGAACAGGTTATATTTTTTGTAAAAAGTTATTACATATCTTTGTATTGAAGCTTCAAGAAATGAGAGAAATTATAAAAATTGATGTGAATAAGGTAAGGTGGTATATGTGTTTTTCACAAGTAGATAGATACCTAAAAACTCCTTGAAATAACAGCATGTAAATGTCACTTATTTAATGCTTTTTGATTTAGCTAACTGCAGATTACTTTTTATGATACTTTAAAATTGGTGAAAGCTGCTAGGACCAATAATAATGAATAGAAAATTGTTGTAGGTAATCGTATCCTTGGTAACCATATCCTTGGTAACCGTATCCTTGGTAACCGTATCCTTGGTAATCGTATCCTTGGTAACCATATCCTTGGTGGTAATTGTATCCTTGGTAACCATATCCTTGGTGGTAATCATATCCTTGGTAACCATATCCTTGGTGGTAATTGTATCCTTGGTAACCATATCCTTGGTAATTGTATCCTTTGTAATCATATTTCCTGGTAAATATTCAATATAAACAAGGACATGATTACCAGTACATACCATTTTCTATGTTAACCTTTCGTAGTAGATTTGTTGCTAATTCTATGGTGCACTAAGAAGGACTGTTGACAAACTTAGTTGTTTCATCTACTTGCATGTACATGTACATTATTAGTGCATTAAAGTGACAAGAGTTCAGTTAGAATGATATTACTAGCATCTATTAGATAAACCTTTGTCATGATACAACACAAATGTGTATTTGTAGTGTTTGTGTACATTAACATTCACTTGATCATGTTTTTATCTAGTAGGTCTGTGCATGGTTCAATGTCTTTGTTTATTTTTTAAGATTAAATTCTAGACCTGTGTATGGCATGAATATTATCAAGGTTAGGAGGTAGAGCCAAAACAATTCTTGAATGCTCATTGCCAATTCAAGACAGCGTTGGTATAAATTTCTTTTCCATACCAGTCAGGTCTCTTGTGGTCTCCAACCCACCTGGCATATACAGTGTACCATACTTTGCCTACCATTCCTGATTTCAGTTCTTACGATTTATTGTTTTTTTTTAATAAAAGTAAAATTTGTAAATTTGTTTGCTTATATGTATGGCAATGATATGCTTTGATCTAGTTCTTCGAGGGCTAGCCATTGAAAGAAAGTCAGGGATTTTTTAAAACAAGGGAACATGGCCATGCGCCCCCTTATTCCGGGGAACAGATCCTCTGGCAACCATAAAAGTCTGATTGACCAGGGATCCGTAGAATGCTTCATTTTAACTCAGAATTATCAAAAACTCCACACCCTGGTAGGGAGAACCCTATTTCTCCCACTTGGTGGCGCCGCTAAATTGCAGTGCTCCGTCTTGCAGTTTTTTCCTAGAAAAAAAACCTGGAGAGTAATCACTCTATTCACCAATCACCCCCCCCCCCCTCAAATCAAGACCTGTTGGACCTGTTCTAATACGTACAAGGTGTGTATGGGAATTGAAATCAGTACTTTAGGCAACTGGAATGCACCTGCATATTTCTCAAAATAAGCATTGTGCGCCCCCTAATTGTGTCATTATTCTGCATCATATTGTGGCCATCAAGAAAATTAATACTGCGTCCCTATTCACTACGTTCAATTACCCACCATAGACTCCGGTTAGTCAAAATGACTATTTTGAACTGTAGGCATTAATCAGCCGGTGACGGAGAGATAGAGTTTAGGGCAGGGGAAGCCCCATGACCCCAAGATTCTCTTTCCCTTACGTCACGAATCACTCTTCTTTCATCTCTGCCTCATCGGGAATGATTCTGAGCGGCTCTGCCTGGCTCTTTTGCTTTTTTCTGTCCGGGTTTTAGCTTGGATTTTTGCCGCTGGGCGGCATTCGACATTCTAACTGGTATGA